CTGCCCAAGTGGACTGATAGATGAATTATGAGGGCTTTTTAATGTACAGCTTGACATATTCTGATGTGTATACACTCATGTGCCCAGATAAAGATGTCAAACATTCTAATTTTTCCCCCTTCACTTATCTCACACATCTCCCCACCCCCTCTCCCCTATGGTACTCACCAGTTTGTTCTATGTTTGAATCTATTTGTTTTGTTTTTTAGATTACACATGTAGGTGAAATCATATGGCATTCTGTCTTTCTCTGACTTGTTTTACTTAGCATAGTATTTGTGCCATAAGATATATATAATTTGCATATAAATTATAATACTTTGGATATAGTAGGACAAATATATTAAAATTTTTAAAAATGCACATGGACAAGAACAAGTGACACATCTTGGAGAACATGTTCTCCAAGTCACTCACTGTGGTAGGCCCAAATAAGAGAGGCAGTGGTAGTATAATAGGGCTTCTCAGATCTCCCTTACCAATACTGCCCACCCTTTGAAAGGTTCCAGGCTACAAGGGTCCCTTCTGTTTTTCAGTGCACAACTCAGGGGTCTCGACCAAGTACTTCAAATATCTGAGCAACTTTAGAACTTAAAGACTTATTTTAATCCTGCCTGTAGGTAAGGGGTGAGTCCCATACCTCCACTTCCTTGACCAAGATCTCCATTTCCCTTGGGGGAGAGTGACAGACAGGCACGTTGATTTCCAATAAAATGTCAATTATGTCCTCTGCAACTGGTATCAGAGGCCTATGGATCTAATTTCAGCCAAGAACACAGAATATCAACTGTGCTCCAGACAGTCACATGCCAGAGCCAACTATCTGATTAGGAGCTAAGGAAACATCAGTCTGACAACTCATCCAAAACAGTATAAGTGATACATTAATTATCCATTCTAAGCTTTCTTATTATCATCTAAGACCAGAAAAGAACATTCTTAGACATACGGTGGTTTATTGCTCTTTACAAATGCCTCAACTATCAAAGCCAATATAAAATTGTTTACATTGTCCATTATGTTACTCAATATCATTATTTAAGGGTCCCACCCATAATTCTTAGAATTTTGTGCCTAGAAGTGGCTAAAGAGTTTTAAGAAAATTAAAACTACATAATCCGCTGCATATGCCTTTATCCCTTTGGCTGCCAGGAAGTCAAGGGATACAGTTAAAGTAGCACTAAACTTCAGTAATCACTTTATCCTAAATTCTTGGCACAATTACTACAGTCCTTCGTTCTAGTAGGCTTCTGATGTATCTACTTAACGAACCTTTTTGCACGTGTGTAACTATCATGAAACATACTTCAGATACTTTCTTGAAGACAGATAAGGTATTAATTATAAAACTAAATTATCACTGCCAGTTTCAACATCAGTGAGCATTTGCTAAATACATAGCTTTAGCAGAGATGATTCCTTTAAAAAATATATTCTAATATCACATAAGGTTTGAAAAGTAATTCTTAAAAAAATCACTAGCTATGTCCTTCCAATGAGAAAACAAGGTCCTCCCTTACCCTCTCCTGTAGTATCAGGCAACCGTGTACCTGACTGGCATGGAATGTAACAAACACAAAAAGGAAATAAAGTGAATCTGAAAGGCAGGTGTGGAAAATCTCAAGTATTTAGATGGAGACATTGGTATGTACAAAATACATGGATTAACTAACCAAGAGATACAGTTCTTAGGAAAATTATAGGAGACCAAACTTAAACTCTTCCCCCTCTCAACCTATCCAGAGCAAACAAATAAACCAGTTATTTATGAATATCGAAGAAAACTTAAAAAATTCTGGCACATTCTAAAGTTTCAAAAGCTCTGATGAGATACTGTATCAATGAAAAATCTACAGAACAATAGTACCCAGAGTTGGGCAAGTTACTTAACCTCTCAATCTAAGTTCCTTCATCCATATATAACGGGGACAGTAACTCCTCATAGCAGTGTTGAGGGGATTATGTATATAAACTGCTTAGCATGGGAGCTAGCATATCTTAAGCGTTCACTATACATTATTAGTAATATCGTTACTGCTGCTGAGAGTGGAAATTGGTTCAACTTTTCTGAAGAGCAATTTGGCAATAGGTACCAAAAGCCTGAAAAATGGCATATACCCTTTAATAATCCCCCTCCTCGGGATTTATCCTAAGTAAATAATCAGAAATATTTAGAAGACTTACGTTTTAGAGTTTTCATATAAAAGCATTAGATCAAAAAATGGGAAATAGATAATAAAAGGGACTTGTTTATCTAATATTATGGTAAAACTGTAAGTTAAGACTTACAGCTATTTACAGCTATGTAAACAGAACATTAAGGGGAGAAGCTTCAAAATATATTAAGTGAAGAAAGCTATAAACAGCATCTTACATTTATGAGAAAGTATATAAACACACAGAAACATCTGGGAGGTCATAAATCAAAATGTGAACAGTTTATCTTGGGTGGTGGAATTATTTGGGATGTCTTTTTCCGCCGTATACATTTTCCACGTTTTCTGCAATACTATCCCCCACCCCCCACCCCGCTTCTTACCAACATTTATTGTGCATTTATTGTGTTGGACACATAGAACTTTACCCTTATCTCATTTAGTTCTCACAACAACTATACGGGTAGATACTACTTTACAAATCAACGCAAGTAAAAGAAAGTAAGATTTCAAATCCAGGTTCTCTGATTCCAGAGTTGAACTTTTAACCTCTCTTATCTGTGTGTGTGATACACCCACCTATGTGTGTGTATGTTTCCTAAATAAATGAACAGCAATGGATGATCCTGACTTCTGTAGAAAGCCACTCTGCTCAGGAGAGCATCAACCTCGAGATACTGCCAAATTGTAGCAAATAGGATAAGCTATCTCATTTGAGGATGGGCTCTGCAGTTCCCCCATCTGATGTCCCAGAGCACCCCCTGAGCTGCTCTGTCCATGACCTTTAGATCCCAAGAGTCACACTGGGCATTAGTCCCAAGAGTCCCAAGAGTTAGCATTTCTGCAGCGCATAAAAGCTGAAGGTTTGGGGGGTGGGGTAAAGCTCCAAAGGCAAGATTCTCGATTCTGTTCAATGAAGATCTCAGAACAGCTAAGGAACCAAAAAGCTAATAATTAATCCAGAAACAAGAAAACCTAACCAGTCAGCAATTTACCACGTTGGGCTTAATTTTACCCAGTTTCCAAGCACATTACCGTCCAGTTGTTACAAAATGAAATCAGCCTTTTATCTCAGAGAAATAGATTGGGATTGCTGATGAATACAGATATCAGTTCTTCCCATCCCCCTTCCAATATAGCCTCAGGTTCTGTGATATTGCATTCCATTATGCAAGGCTGAAGGGTTTAACACAAGGAAAAATAAAGTCCCTGTATTTTTCCTAAAAGTATAGGAAAAGGATTTAATAACCACACTTCTCTAAGGGGGCCAAAAAATACTCTCTAAATGAAAATTTTCCTTGCCTCCCAGCTTTTTGCAAAATCTGGTCATGTTTTGTCTTCGTTATTACAGCCAATGAGTCATAATGGTGTGGTCAAAGCTAAAGACACCAGCTTGGCTAGCCTCTTGACTTAAGGTATTGCCTAGTTACAGACGGCATCAGTGTTTGCACTATCATTTGCACCACAACCAGCGGCACAATATCAAGCATCCAGAAGGAAGCTGTCCACTATAGGTGAATGCTTTTATCAGCAGAGTCTAAAAAGAGTAAGGGGAATTACTCTGGCAATAAGCTTAAAGAAAAGTAAAAAGGAACAAAAGCATTTAAGAAAAAAATGTTCAAAACAATTTAAAGTTATTTAATTGATCAGTAGCTTTGGTGATCAGATGATCACCCTTAAGAGACGACTGTAAGTGTAAGATTGTGGGCAGTGATGTGATTTGATCAACAGGGTAATGAAAAGACAAAGTATGCATATCAGAACCAGAAGACTCTACATTTAGGTGGAAGGGGTATTGAATGGATCAGGTAACCAAGTTATCTCTAAGATGGCCCCAAGGTGCAGGAGGGGATGGAAGTTGGGGGAGGGAGCAAGTTTAATTAATTAGCAAGGCAATGAAAAAAATTCGAGTTACAATGCACTACGGGATCCCCGTCTTCCACTCCATTGCCTTCCCTCAATTATTTTAACTTTCAGGGATAAAACTGTTTTCCAAACTCCCCAGAAAGCGCTAAGAGACGTGAACAAGTTCAGGATAGACTTTGCTACTGAAAAATATGCTTTTGTATTATCTGTACCAGTAGCTGCACTGGGGACTCCAGAATAAAGGGTCTCTAAAATTTTCCGGATGGCTGAAGCTGAGATGCTGGCAATCAGGATGGAGAGTTAACACACCACTTTATCTCATCAACTAGATTTAACTTAAGTTTGCCTCCGATTCTAAAGATTCTGAAGACAGGGCTCTAAAGATGTGAAAAGTCAACGCCTGCCAATCTAAGGGAAGTTCTCAGTAATAATTTTGGCGCCCTCGATACCTAATGTCAGTTTCCCTTCAACACCAAACCCGACCGACACCATTTCGAATTGAAAAGCTCCCTTTCGGAGTACAGTATTAACACCAGGGGAGCTCAGTACACAGTAGGAGCTCCCAAGCAAGCGGGTCCAGGAGCTGAAGCGAATCCATTCCGGACTGGATGGCTCAGCAGCGAAGCGACAAAACCACGTGTCCTTATAGCTAAGGCTGAGTCTTTGCCCTCCCGTAGCTGTAGGCAGCCACAATCCCCGCTTTGGGTCCTCCAGCCCATGCCTTCAAACCCAGCAGCCCTGCCTCATGCTCCATCTTGACTCCACCCCACAGCACGGTGAGAATGAACGTGACTCTTCCATGAGTGGTAAAATAACGGAAACAGCCCGGGGGGCACGCAAGCCAGAGCTGCCCCTTCCCTCCACCTCGGTGCCTCGCAAACTCCCGCGGAGGCCCCATCTCCCTACCCTCTGCCGCCCAGGCGTCGCCCCCGCCGCCTGGGCAGGTGAGGCCGGTCGGAGCCCCAACGTCGCCCTTACCAGGTTTCCTGGTTGCTGAATTTCTTAGTCACCACCTTGCCTAGCTCCAGGCCCAGGCGGTCGGCAATTTTCTGAGATAAATCCTGGTGGGAGCTGCCGCTGAAGATCTTAATATTCGGCATCTTGGCCAACTACCTAGGCACTCCGTTCAGCGATCACTGCTGCTGCCAAGACACCAACTGAAGTGGGCCCGGAGACTCGGTACCAGCCGCTTCCCGTTGCTACTCCGCCATCTTACATTCCCGCCCGCCGCGCGGCTCTAAATTACCCAGCGCCGGAGAGGCGGGGTCACCAGGGAAGTCCACACCCCACCCGCCCTGACTGGCTGAGCCGTAGCGAGGGGCGGGCCCTCGCGGTAACTCCGCCTGCCGCCGGCCCTCTCAGGTATCGGCTGGAGGCCATGAAGCGGGCTTCATGGCTATGAACTAGCTGGGCTGACGCCGGGAGGGGCTAGAGAACCTAGGCAAACCGCGGTAGGCTTAGGGGTGGAGACCTGCCGGTGACGCGTAGGGCCTGAGTTTTCCCGCTAGCGGGAAATCAGCCACGCTTTTTTTTTTTCTTCAGCACTACAAAGTAAGTATGGCTCTACCGTTCCTTTTAAGAAACGCTGCGTATCAGGACGGCAGCCACAGTTCGTCAGAATGAAGGGGAGATTTCTGAACATGAGTTTGCATAGCTCTGAACATGATTTTTTAAGACGGGGCCGAATTGAAGCACGTCTGCATCACGTAGAGACACCCCTTGGCACAGGCACATCCAAAGGGCTTATTTGCCTTTCCCTGGAAGACCATGGGGAAAGTGACTGAAGGCTTGTCACCTGAATCACTCAGAGGCATTGCAAGAGGAAGTTGCGTTGTGTTTCTGACTCTGGGACCAAGAATGTTCAAACAAATGAAGGAGTATGGCTTTTCCAAAATTTCTGGGCAACGAAGGTCTGATGTATCCAACCTTTGGAAAGGAGAGAAACTATAGTATATTTACAGGACTTCAGATTACTAGTCCTGAAATAATTGGAAAACCTGGGTTTTGGTCCTACCTGCCTCATGTGACCTTAGCGTCATTGTTGCTAATGTGAACTTTTATACCATGTTTTATTATTTTTATGACAATTGCTAATTGGGCCAAAGCGTTTATTCTTGCACAACATGTTCATTAAGCATATTCCAATCATAGGTTAAAGTTAGGAGAAAAACCATACAATTTTAGAATTTTAGACTAAAAAAACACAATTTCAATTATGAGCACCACAGAGCTCATAACTGTAAGCTATAAAAATAGAAGGGACTTCAGAAATCATCTAGCCTACTAGTTTCATTTTACATATGGTGAAACAGACCCAGAGATGAAGGGATTTGGCTGTGTGGCAAAGACAGAAAATATGCAAAGCAGCATCCTATTTTTTTTAACTGCCGTTTTCAGCAGTGTCCATGGAGGACCTCTCCTTCTGACCTTTTGTCATACTTCTTCGAGTTCAGAAATTTAATATACACCCAGTTGTATAGGAACATAATTGGCTCTGGAACAATGCAGGAATTAGGGGTGTCGGCCCCCACACAGTCGAAAATTTGCATATAACTTCTGATTCTCTAAAAACTTAACTACTAACCGCCTGCTGTTGACCAGAAGCCTTGTGGATAACATGAACAGTTGATGAACACATAGTTTATAGGTTATATGTATCATATACTATATTCTTATGATAAATTAAGCAGAAGAAAGGAAAATGTTTTTTCAAATTATTGCAAATCTCCAAAACCTTTCCAATATATTCACTGAAGAAAATCCACGTATAAGTGGACCTGCACAGTTCAAACCCATGTTTTAAATAAAGAAAATATATATTATGTCAAATGGTGAAAACTGCTATATAGATAAGGCAAGGAAGTGGGATAATGTGCCAGGGACATTGTGGGGGAAGGAAGGATATAATTTTAAGTGCAGTAGTCAGAGAAGGCCTACCTGGGAAGATAATATTTGAGCAAAGACCTGAAGGAGATAAAAGGAATGAGCCATGTTGATATCTGGGACAACCAGAGGGAACAGCAAGTGCAAAGATCCCTAGGCAGGAGAGTATCTAACTTGTCTGAGGAATAGTAAAGAGGTGGGTGTGTCTGGAGCAGAGTGAATGTTGGTATACTGAGGGTGGAGTGCACCTGTAAGAGAAAATAAGGTCAGTGAGATAAGGGCAATTAGTGGTTACCCAAAGAAGAAAAAAACCCACTAATTTGAGAAGATATGTGCAACCTTATGTTTACTGCAGTATTATTTACAATAGTCAAGATATAGAAGAAACCTAAGTGTCTGTCAATAGATGAGTGGNTACAGAAAAATGTTTAGTGAAGGCTGGAAGAGCTCATATTATTTACAATAGCCAAGTTATGGAAGCAAACTACGTGTCGATCAGTAGATGAATGAATAAAGAAGAGGTGGTACATATATATAATGGAATATTATTCAGCCATAAAAAAGGGCGAACTATTACCATTTGTGGAAACACTGATGGACCTTTGAGTAATATGGACCATGGACCATAGAGGATACTATACTAAAAGAAATAAGTCAGAGAAAGAAAAATACCATGAATTCACTTATGTGTGCATTGTGAAAAACAAAACAAACAAACAAACAAAAACAACCTCCCCTCCCCAAGAAACAGACTCATAAATTCAGAGAACAAACTGGTAGTTTCCAGAGGGAGGTGGGGGGATAGGTAAAATAGGTGAAGGGGATGAAGACACACAAATCTCCAATTATAAAATAAATAAGTCATAGGGATGAAAAATGCAGCATAGGGATTATAGTCAATAATATTATAATAACTTTGTATGGTGACAGATGGTAACTACATTTATTGTGATGTGCATTTTGTAATGTATATAAATGTCAGATCACTATGTTGTAAACCTGAAACTGATATTATATCAACTATACTTGAATAAAAATCTTAAAAATAGCAGGAAATGTGTTTAAAAAAAAGGAATTGGTGGGAGGGTGCATATCCTGCAGGAACTTGTAGGCCATTTTAACGATTTCTGCTTTTACTGAGCAAGGGTTTTTAGTAAAGAATGACATGATCTGCTTTCCATTTTAAAAGGATTACCTCAGCTAACAATAGAGTGTAGGGGGCAAGATAGGAAGCCAGGAGACCAATTAGGATTTGCCTGCCTAATAGGGAAGATTAGACACTTATACAAACAATTGTAAGCCACAGTACAATTTAACACAGTGCCACAGAGAAACCTGTGTTTGGCTATAGGTAAGCTGCTATAACGGAGACTCTAAAATATAGTGATTCAAATAAGACATATTATTTCTCTGTTCATAACATGCTGGCCAGCCTAGGCCGGTGGGACAGTTCTACTCTATGCTAGGTCATGAGCACATCCACATTCCAGCTCATAGGAAGGAAGAAACAGAAGAGGTCTGGGCAAAGGATTTCCCTTTGAGCAAGTTATGTGGAATTTGTCCATTTCACTTTTTGTCACATCCCTTTGGCAAGACTTAATCACATGGAAAGAGCTTAGCTGCAAGTCACACCTAGCTGCAAGAAAGACTAGGGCGTGCCTTGTTAGATGGCCCTACACCCAGAAAGAAGAGGAAAATGGATTTCGGAGGTACAACTAGTCACCAGCCACGAGACCCAAACAAAGTGATATGCAAACTCAGTGTGGTACAGGGTACTGCCTCTGCATGGGGCATCCTGGGAGGTAATTCTGGAGGTAGAAGCACATGAGCTAAGCCTTGAAGGATGGGTAGGGTTTTTTTTTTAATTAAGGTATGATTGATATACACTCTTCTGAAGGTTTCACATGAAAAAACAAAGTGGTTACTACATTTACCCATATTATCAAGTCCCCACCGATACCCCAATGCAATCACTGTCCGTCAGTGTAGTAAGATGCCACAGATTCACTACTTGCCTTCTCTGTGCTACACTGTTCTCCCTTTGATCCCCCACACCATGTGTACTAAACATAATACATCTCCATCCCCTTTTCCCTCCCTCCACATCTACCCTCCCACACCCCTCCCCTTTGGTAACCACTAGTCCCTTCTTGGAGTCTCTGAGTCTGCTGCTATTTTGTTCCTTCAGTTTTGCTTCGTTGTTATACTCCACAAATGAGGGAAATCATTTGGCACTTGTCTCTCTAAGTGACTTATTTCACTGAGCATAATATCCTCCAGCTCCATCCATGTTGTTGCAAAGGGTATGATTCGTTTCTTTCTTATGGCTGAATAGTATTCCATTGTGTATATGTACCACAGCTTCTTTATCCATTCATCTACTGATGGGCACTTAGGTTACTTCCATATCTTGGCTATTGTAAATAGTGCTGCAATAAACATAGGTGTGCATATGTCTTTTTGAATCTGAGAAGTTGTATTCTTTGGGTAAATTCCAAGGAGTGGGATTCCCACGTCAAATGCTATTTCTATTTTTAGTTTTTTGAGGAACCTCCATATTGCTTTCCACAATGGGTGAACTAGCTTCCATTCTCACCAGCAGTGTAGGAGGGTTCCCCTTTCTCTGCATCCTCACCACCATTTGTTGTTCTTAGTCTTTTCGATGCTGGCCATCCTTACTGGTGTGAGGTGATATCTCATTGTGGTTTTAATTTGCATTTCTCTGATGATTAGTGATGTGGAGCATCTTTTTATGTGTCTGTTGGCCAGCTGAATTTCTTCTTTGGAGAACTGTCTCCTCATGTCCTCTGCCCATTTTTTGATCGGATTACTTGCTTTTTGGGTGTTGAGGCGTGTGAGCTCTTTATATATTTTGGTTGTTAATCCCTTGTTGGATATGTCACTTACAACTATATTCTCCCATACTGTAGGATGTATTTTTGTTCTGTTGATGGTCTCCTTTGCCATACAGAAACTTCTTAGTTTGATGTAGTCCCATGAGTTCATTTTGCTTTTGTTTCCCTTGCTTGAGGAGATGCATTCAGGAAGAAGTTGCTCATGCTTATTTATATTCAGGAGATTTTTGCCTATGTTGCCTTCTAAGAGTTTTATGGTTTCAAGACTTATATTCAGGTCTTTGATCCACTTCGAGTTTACTTTTGTGTATGGGGTTAAACAATAATGCAGTTTCATTTTCTTGCATGTAGCTGTCCAGTTTTTCCAACACCAGCTGTTGAAGATGCTGTCATTTCCCCATTGTATGTCCATGGCTCCTTTATCATATATTAATTGACCATATATGGTTGGGTTTATATCAGGACTCTGTAGTCTGTTTCATTGGTCTATGGGTCTGTTCTTGT